TCAGCTTATGTTTCCAAAATCTATACAAGGGTTGTTCAGCATTTAATGTGCTGCAAAGATGTGATACTAGCATTTATTCAGCTGCTTCTGTTTAAATTAAACAACCCTTGCATTTATCTTATACAACACATACAAATGTGTCCAACATGAAAACCTAGACATGCAAATATATAAAAAATAAAAGATTGGGGGAAATCCCAAAAATATAAATATATTATATTATAAATATGTCTACATTTACAAAAACAACATGTAATCATTACATTTGCAATAGTTCATTACAATTTTCTCAATGTTATTTCAATGTCTCCATTGTAATAATTCCCCTTTGCACTTGAGAAGAAACTGCTTTACGAGAATACACAAAGAAAATGTCCCCGCTAATAAATAAGAATACATTTAATCATAAGAAGGGCTATTAATAACGTCCATAAATTACTGCTTACTCTGTGTCTGTTGAAAAACACTGTTATTCTGGATGTTCAACAAGGTCTTAGACATGCAACAGGATTCATGTTCATAGATATGCAAAAAATCCAGATTATATACTCACATTTGCTACAAGGCAAGGCAAGTTTATTTATATAGCACCTTTCAACACAAGGCAATTCAAAGTGCTTTACAAAAATGAGAGACATTAAGAGCATTAAGAAACATATTATAAAATTGCATTTAAAAACACTAATTTAAAAGCAAAGATATATATATAAATGGCACCTACAACACTATAATGGTCAACGATGATGCTATCGAGTGTATTCGATGTTATCAACTAACGTTTCTTAAAGAGAGTATAGCCACTTTGGTAGGAAAAGCTGCAGTGGTTGAGGGTATTGCATGCCTGTCCCGTAGCAGAAGGACCAACCCTCCTCAGACACACCATCTCTCCCCCAACCCCCTTTTACCCTGTAAATTATGGCAGCACTTTAGCTAATGAAAGAGTTGAAGACTGGGCACTAATAAAAGCCATTAAGTGAATAAAGCACTTCCCCTCTAACAAAATTAAAGAATCTACCCATTTGGAGAGGGAGGACTTTGTATTAATATTTATGAAATGCGGAACCGGCGGCCCCCCCCAAACACCCCAGCCACGTCCAATCCCAGCCTGAACAAGTCCTCCTTGCCAATGCACCTATCCCAAGAGAACATGGTCAACCCCTCCTTGCTTGAAGGAGGGGCAGGAGATGGGGACTTGAAGGGTGCTGAGGACGCAGCCAGGACAGTCTGTCTGCAGTTGAGCAAGCTTGAAGACCCCAAGACGCAGCTCAGATCTCAGAGTCTCCTTCGTCAGCCCTCAGCCCTCAGCGCGCTGCACCTAACACCGACTTTGGGACCAGAAGATGGAAAGGTGGGTTTCTTAGAAAGAGCAGCTGGAGGTTTTCAGTAAGATAAAAAGTAAGTTTTGACTAGTTTATTATTTGTAGTGTTGTATTGGTAATTTGTTGGGTTTTGACCCTTAGTCAAACTAAAGATTTTGTATACTTTGCTTTAAATCTGAATCTTTGAATGTTAAAGATCAAGAACAGTTGAACATTCTATAGTCAAATTAAGAGTCAGATTCTGAGATGCATGAGTTTGAAGTGCAACTTCTTTAAAACAGTGATAGGGATGATTCATTTCCATTTTTGAGGAAAGCAAAACACTCCAAAAACAAGGTAAGGATCCATAATTATGTCTCACAATCATCAATGCATAAAAACATCACGCCATCCCATCAGTCACACTGCATCCCTTTGAAACATCCTCATTGTTCTGAAAAACAGAGGTCTGTTTCACCGCCGTCGCCCACCATTTTCACCCAAAGAACTCCCATTTTCGTGCCATTTGCTCAACTAACAAACGCAGGGTTTCACTTTGGTGCATCAATATGCTTTGTGGTGTAATTTCATCACACAAAGTGGTTCAGTTGCCAGAGCTCTAAGTTGATTATCGCACCATGGCTTCTCATTTTAGTAAAAGGTCCCTGGGGAGCTGAAAGAGACACAAGAGAAGGTAACAAGATTGTTAAAGCTTTTTGGAGAAACAGATGTCTCTTAGCTTGATGGTATCATGACTTGACATTGCACTCAGTGACCGTTAACATAGTTAGGACTAAATTGGCAGAAGGGGTTGTGTCTTTACTCTAAGAAGTCAGCAAACGTCTTCAAATGGACAACAGTATAGCTATAACTATCATTCTTGAGTCCATTGGTATCTCTGGCCACCAAGACTTAGGTTTTAGTCAATTACATTTAACATTTCAAAGACTGGACTCTATAAGATGTTGCGTTTCCCAACAAGTCACTGACAAATTACCCAAACTCGGTTTCCATTGATCAGTTGAATAGTACCCAACAGACTGATGGAAAACTAATTTGATTTAGCCACCATTCCTCAGGCCTGCTGTAAATCTTTTCCAGAAAACGTTAAATATTTGAACGTTTCTATCATTAAATTGTGATACTTTGTAGATTTTTTTCAATCGTGTTTCTTTGAGTTGGGCGCGACGGGCGGGAGGGTGTGGTTTGTCGCAGTTCGTGCGCAGGAAGGGTGTAGCCCTTTTTTCCGCAGTGAGTTTGACCTGTGACTAATCTTTTTCACACTGCAGATGATTTTAACTGCAACTGTGTAACGATCCTTTTCTAATCATTGGTGAGATTTGTCTTTTTAACAATATAACCATTAGCTTGGATCTCCGCCCTCACACCTTTGGACTTTTTCCAACTCTTGGACTGAAGGTACAAATCCAGCCATGGGATTGTCCTTCAAATGCAAGAAACTACTTTGACGATGATGTGTTTTAAGAGTTTTAATACTTGATGAATTGGTTGACTAAAAAGTTATATTACGTTTCACTGTTTTTCTCCACTTTATGGTAAGCCAAACGACAAAGCGTTCGTGTTCCTCGGATGCCTTTGAGCGGGATCACCTCTGATCTGTGTTGGGTTTTCTGTCTCTGCCCAGGACCCCATTGTGCTTGATCTAACCATGCAGTGTATCTTCTGTCCATGGTTCTGCCAAGCACCTTGGAGGCTTGTGAGCACTCTCGGCAATTTAAAAAACTCAGATTTAAATTTTGAAGTCAGAAATGTAACAGTCCATTTTTAGAATTTGTGTACGAATAAACTGAACTCTAAAATCAAGCAATAAAACGTAGATATTTGGAGAGAATCAAGACTATAAAGTATGTTTAAAAAGGACTATCATTATTTGAGAAGTTTGTTTTATTCTTAATCCTGTTGTTTTCTCTCATGATGTATTCCATATGTACAACCAATAAAGAACATTTTAACATCCTGTGTGTTTAATTGGAATTTCTTTTTTTTAATGTTGAATAAAGGTCAACATTGGATATGAAAAATATAAACAGAGTGGGCCTCAAAGGATTTATAGCATTCATATAAATAAAACTGTCATTTTCTAAAAGCCGGTTGGTGTATAACATGGCAGATTTGTGGAAATGGATCAATTACTGTAAGTGCTCTGTGGCTTTCAATAATGGCTAATCATTTCAGACAGTTGAGGTCATATATTAAAACAACGGCACTCTGTTAAGACTGCGGACACATCACCGATCTGTAAATCAAACCATGTGACATAGATGCTCGTATGTTTCGTAGACGGAGTTTATGTTCTTGAAATGTTGATCAAAATCATGTTAGCTTTGCTTCTATATAGTGCTATAGTGTCTATGTTGTCCCATAAGTCAAGTCACATCTAGTACATTCAAACAATAAATGTGAAATTATAAAACCAGACTCATCCTTTCTTTATGACTCTTATTTCTTAATGATTCCGGTCTTTGTGCACTGCAGGCGTTACATGACTACATACGCTGATGAATATTGCTTTTAGACCTTTAAACTTGATTCTCTGTTAGAGTGACCATTAAAGCGATGAAGTAGACAGATTTCTCTTGTCATGTTGTACAGGGGCAAAGAGCTCTATCCTGGAGACATATTTATTCATGCATTTCTCATATCAAACATTATCCCTGAAAAACGTGGTTAGGAAGTTCAGCAGTGTGTGCCAGTTAAAATAAATATTGTCTATTTTTGGTTTTGCTTTATGTGTATGGGATTGCAATCTCCCCGTGGATGAGTTCATGTCATTCCTAAATTGTATATACCATCATAACTGCAGTTCTTATATTTTATTATTTTAAAATGCAATTAATAAAATGCATCTGGAAGAAAAAAAAACAATAGAATTGTTTTTACCATCAGACAATTTTCTTGTCGTAGAAGGAAAAGCATCAGTGTACTAACATTAAGGATGGCTCATGTGTCCCAGTTAATAAAGGACCCTGAACTGCAGAAGAAATTCAGCCATCAATCATTTAGTATTTACACAAACTGTTACATGTCAAATATCTATGTAAGAACTTTCAAAGATTATCTTGGCAAACAGAATCAGCACATGTTTCTGTCAAGTAAGTAAATATAAACAATATTCAATAAGCCTTTCAAAACAAAAACCTATCAACACCGAAGTATTTCTGTGTGGTCCTTTACTTATTTTTAACAAAGTCATGAAATAAATCTATATTTAAAGTATGCTTAAAATATCACATCTTATTCAAAAATGCTAAATTCTCACAACATTTACAACATCCACCATGCCAATCTGATTTTAAGCAGGTTTTAAGTGGAGTGTGACGATGATGGATACTAGATAAACTGACAGCTAAAGTAGTACACTATGATCATATAGTGCATACTGTCAGTACTCTATGAACTGTACATACTGTATGGAATAGGTAGTTAATTTGATTTAGGAAAACAGAGCCATTAGAGTAACTTCCAGGCTGACGTGTTGAGCTGTCAGAGCGTTCAGTAAACTGCGGAGCCTCTTTGTAGTCCGTCACTGACCTTTTGCCCAGACAGGCAGTGTGGGGTTTACAGATTATCCCATTAGACAGGACTACGTTGGCTGCTTCGCACAAACACAAGGCTAATCACCATTTTCCCTAAACAAGGTCAAATCCAAGAGTGCTCTGCAATGAACAGCTGAACCCAGTATGACACAGATGAAAATGTTTATTTGATCTGATTATTCGCTATTCCATTTCAATCAGTCTTGAAATCACAGGGTATTAAGTGCACACAATTATTTTTCTGTCCCCAATTCATTCTCATGTGAAAGCAAATTACAACACACATTATACTGCCTGCTAAAAGAAAACACAATTATGCGACAACTCTTCTAGACTATGGCAGGTGGCACAAAGCCGTCAGCAAATGGCAGAGCATTAGCAGATACATTCGCAAACTGAACATTAGCAAACACAATGTTTAATCGGTTAATATATCGTGAGAGTTCATGTTGTTTGACCACACAAAACATAAATATAAAAAAACTGCATTTTATTTCCAATGTCATACTTTCAACATATCTGTATATCACAGCTTACACTGGCATTTTTTTGTGAATCAAATAGCTGGAAATACATCATTTCAGAATTTTACACAGTGGATATATTGTTTTATATGGATCACACCATTCTGCTTTATCTTGAGATAGCTACTGCCACGTATTCACTCAGATGTACCACCTGACTATGACAACATGTTTAGAGCAAGATGGGATGTTTTTAAACTAAAATTAATTTCAAGATATTTTTGCCAGATTGTCAGGCTGTAAACTGTGTATTTGATTAGGCAAGGTTTTATTTCACACATCATGTGAAACTCTTGGTACATTCACAACACTGGGTTGTCAAATGAATTCCAAAAACAACAAGGATGACTTGGAAGGATGGATTATAGTTTCAGTAGAGCCCACGTAAATAACAAAAACCAAAGAAATCAAAATGCAGGACAAACATGTTACAGAGCTTGTGAGTAGGGATTTTTAGTATCCAGGCAATGTTCTTTTTTATGAATGTACAAGATCTAGAGTAACACAAAGAAAAAACACACACCAATAATTTCAAAAGTACAAACTCCAGTTATGTCTGTTGTGGACACCATAACAAATATATATATGAGCTAAAATATGAGAACACATGAAATGGAAAAGGATGGTGGTGGGTGAGAAGAGTTCCAAATTTCTCTAAAAAGGGCATTGACTCATTAAATGTGTCTATAGAGAAGTGCATCAGTACAATTGTATTTGAGGATTTAAGTTGTTGTTGTAAGACACTATGCCCATATTGCTGAAGGACTGGTTTATCTTCAGAAGGCCGTTTTGTCAACGCACACATTTTCTATATTATATATAATAGCATCATTAGATATATTTTTTTTTAAATTCCATCCCATCCAGTCCAATGAAGATTAATAAGCCATGCTGCAAGCAAACAGGAAAGCATTTGTATCCATGAGTGTGGTAGAAAGAATTCCCCGCAGAGGCCTCAATTCTTCATAGTCAGTACAGAATTTGTGGCCGTAGGTTTACAGTTTTCTGTTTTAGTGATGTCTATTAGAAGTCAGTTCATGTTCCATGTCCATTTCAACAACATCTCTCTGAAAACACACATACAGTAATGTGGCTGCGGTCTGAACAGCCTTTAAACTCGAGCCTTGTCGAACAATGGAAGACATAGAATGACAATTGAGAGGAAGTTTTTTGGCAAAAGCATCTCTACAATTAGGAATTTTGGCTCAATCTTGACAAGAAATACATCATTACCAAATGAGGCAAATAATAACCCATTGCACTGCCTGCGTGGTTAGGCCATTATAGGGCCAATGTCAGCAGTCTGAATGAAAATCTCCACAGAAACGGTTGCACCAAAGCACAGTAATGCTGCCTTCACAGTCCATTGTTCTTGTTCATCTATCACCGATTTGGCCATGTCTACGGATGGACATATTATTTACTTGTCTTTAACGTAGGTTACAACTTCCATTTGCAGTTCATGCAATCTACTTAAAAGTTGGGCTGGAGGGTATAATCGAAGTTCAAGTGCACGTGAAAACACAGCAACATAACCCCAGGTCTATAAAATATCCATCTCAAGCGTAGATCTGTCCAGAACCACCTTTGTGTGACTTTTCTCCTCCGAGGCGCTCCTGGCTCGATTGGCGGTTGGCGTCACTGGATTTGATGACACTGGCGTAGTCGAAGATCCCCACTTCCAAGTTCTTGGCCCTCAAGGTGGCACTATGCAGCTTCTCTAGAAAATCAGGCATACCTGCGAGGCACAAAGGGAGAGCCTCCTTAATGTCAGGTGTACAATACTCGGTAGGAAAACATTGAATGCGAAAAGTGAATACGAAAGCATAGAAATGCAGAAATATGAACGCAATAAAAATGCTTAAAGGACACCTATCATGCTATATTTAAATGATATATTGTAGGGCCATACCTATATAAGGTATATTTATACGTTTCTGTTTTCAAAATACCAAACAGATCATGCATTTTAGCCATGCCTCATTTCGCTCTATTTGCTGTTCTCCAGCCCTGTTTTTGCAGGGGGCTGATTCTGTGAGCTGCAGCTGACCACGCCCCCCTGCAGGAGAGGGGAGCCGCTCTGATCAAGTCAGAAGAGGGGGAGAAAAAAAGATCTCCGTCCTCCGTGTTTTATTATATAGAGTCATTATTTATTTGTTTTAAAGCTCAATAAATAACAAAGACCTTTGACCGGCACTTTTCTAATTTTGTCCGGAAGATTTAAACTTTAACGGACATCTTGACCGGCGATAGAAAACCTAACTGAAACTCTGCCGCACGGTCCCCTCGTTCCTTGGAAGAGGCGGAGAGGTGGGTGTTTGTCATCTGCTGGTGGACTAACCGGAGAGAATTACAGTGCTTGCCTCGACGGGGAGGGATTGCATTGAATTACAGCAGCGGGAGCAAACGCTTGCCTCGGGGGGAGAAAAAAAAAAAAAGCCACAGCGGAGAATAAACAGAAGGGTAACCATGGCAACCATGCGTGGGAAGTATTCTTCGCTGCTTTTAAGTAGAACAGAACAAGTTTTAATTATTTTATTGAACAATTATTTGTGTCATTGAAGAACGAAAACAGGAATGTTGAGTTAAATGTTACTCATCCCCCCAACCCCACTCATTAAAAAAAATGAACAAAAATGCACCCCCCATCTCACAAAGTCCCATTCAAAATGTTAAATGAAAAGAGCCCTTCTCCCTCCAAAAAGTCCCATTAAACATGCAAATCTTCCTTCAAGCAATCCTCTGCATATTTGCTAAACCCTTTCAGTCAACAGGCTCTTCCTGGGCCTCATCAACATCCAACTCTTCCTCTTCAGTGTCACTGTCCAGCCTTGTTGAGGATGGCTCTGTGTCAGGCTCAAAGAGCCTTCGGTTTGCCCGAATGCCAACCAGTTTTTCCACTCTCACATTTGTGAGCCTGATGCGAACCTTTGTGCGGTCTCAATAGCCATGCAGTAAGCAGTGTGCTATGGCATGGATATTCAAGTGTACTTGAATGGCATCTGTTTGTTTTAGTCAAGATTATGCTAAAATATACTTTACCCAACTATATTTAAGTTCCCCATGAAGAGCCAACCTTCAATTTTGAAAATTCCCAGTTTATTCCCATAAATTCCCGTTTATTCCCGTGGAAAGTTTCCATCTTTGAAAATTCCCGGAATTTTGCAACCCTAGTCCTGACGTCAGGACAGTGTTCAAATCTGGATCAGTTTTTATCAGATCCGTTGCAGCCCCTTTTTTAGAGATTTGTGTATGGAGGAAAATAGAGAGGGTTGTGTTTTCTGACACTTGGTGAGTTCCCTGGAACACCGGGGACACATATTCATGTATAAAAGACGTACAAAAGTGCATTTTGCATGATAGGTCCCCTTTAATATGTCCAGATTACTTGTGTAAGGATCTAAAGTGTGTGAATTTGGTGGTTATGGGGATACTTTGCTGCTTGACAGTTTATAGACAGGTAATTAAATGTGATTCCATGCGGCCCAAAGTAGTTTTAACCAGTGAAAAGAGCTCACCACTTGACACCATCCAGTTCACGCAGTAACGGGGAAAGGCTGTCTGAGGGTCATCACTGTAGGTCAGCAGATAATCAAATCCATTCTGTAAAGAAAACATACGTCAAACTCAATGGCTACAAAAGGACCCTGGATGCAAATTAAATTTGTGTCACAACAGATGCAGGACAAACCTCATCGAAGGACTTGTGAGGGCGGATGACCATCTTTGACTCGTATGAATGGACCCTTACAAACTCCTGAGTCTCAGGGACTCTGGGATGCTGGACGGCTCTAAAACAACAGAATTACAAATATTAAAAGAGTCTGAAAAATACAGACGCAACTACTTTATTAATGTATCAAAAATACAGCACATTTGAATCAAGATACATTCTTTAAGTCCTACCTGGATACCAGAACCATCAGGTTGTTTTCTGGGTCCACATCATAGCGGCGCACGTACACATAGTCCCTTGAGTACATGGGATACTGTGGGGGGGGGGATTAAATAAGGTTAGCAGCTGACAATCTTAAGTAAAAATGTTTCCTTAACCACTTGATAAGCCAAGGTTATACTCTGCTTGTAAAACACATCAAAGGAAAAGTTTCAAGTTTCAAGGCTTTATTGTCATGTGCACATTAGCCACAGTGTAGATAGGGCAATGAAAAACGTAAGTCACAGGCTCCTCCAACAGTGCAACATGAATATATTTAGGACGCAGAGCTTCCGTTAGAATTTTTTTTTGCCGGTCAACATGTCCGTTAAAGTTTAAATCTTCCGGACAAAATGAGAAAGGTGCCGGTCAAAGGTCTTCTTTGTTATTTATTGAGCTTTAAAACAAATTGATATGATTCGATATTAAACAAACTAATTATAGTAGATTAACTACATTGTTCAAAAGTGTACAGTAACTTATAATAACACGGGAATAATAAACAGAGCGCTCTCTTCCTCTCCTGACAGCCCGTCAGTATCATGCAGCTCGCGGATCAGTAATGAGTGACCCGACAGTAAAAATACACATATTTATAACTAGTTTAGGAAGTTTGAGAGGTAATTAAAATAGCTACGTGTGATTTTCTAACCTGAAGTGCGTGTCACATAAGTGGCGCAACCGATGTGGTATTGTGCTAAGGGGAAATTATTTTGACCGGACATTTTGACCGTAGAGATTTAGATTTGCCAGACTTCAGCATATTTTACCGGTCAAAGTCCGGTAATTATCAGCTAACGGAAACTCTGATAGGACGTCAAACAAATAAAACCTCCCTGTTAACACATTATGTAGGACAAATTGCCTCCTTCCTTAATAGCAAATCAACAGAAACTCACAGGAAAGTGTGTAGCCCAGTGCACAACTTCAGAGCCTGTAGAGACATCTCTGTCCACCACTTCCAGCTTGATAACCAGTGCATCCCACGTCTTCCTGTACTCTGTATCCAACTGGGGGAAAGCATAAGTCAAGGGTTGGGTGCTTAATATAGCACACAGAGCGAGATTTACGGTTGCTTTTGTCCTGCAGTGCAAACATGCTGGTTGCGCAATAGTAGCTGGAAAATAGAAATGTAAAACAGGCTGCAATACACATACCATAAACATAACCCATGAAAAAATAAAACAAATATGCAAGTCCCAATGCTATATATATATATATATATATATATATATATATATATATATATATATATATATGAATTGCTTTAACAAAATGACAAACATTCCCAGTTGCCTTTTACTTCAGTAATACACGGTTCATCAGTCAGAATTCATAAGGGAGGAGATTGCAGCAAACCCAAAACCCTGATAAGAGATTAAGATTGCTGATCCCTCCTGGCTCCAGGTGTTTTTCTGATTATAAACCAGCATCTCAGTAGAATAAGTAATCTTTTGAACATATTTTTTGTATTAAAGAAGAAACATTCATAGTAGCACATATCAACATTTGAAAAGTTTGTACCTGTACATTGAAGAACTGCCTTGGGGTGACATCGTTGTAGGAGCCCAACACTGTTAAAAAATAAATAAAAAGCATGCCGACTTCAGACCAACAATATCACCACCACCAAAGTACCATGAAAAACCTCCAAGCACAAAAGTAGAGTTAAATGTGTGCTTTTATTATCTGCGTTCCAGAGAGCCTGGCTACATATGTGAGATTGTGAGTTGGCTGACCTCTGTATTCGTAGAGGTGACTGTCAGGTATGGGTCGCTTCCACACTTTGAAGCCTTTTTTATCCATCACAACTTCCCAGCCAGGTTCAAGTCTGGAAGCTGTCCCTGAAGCTGTGTTTTGACATTTGACAGACTCTATTTCGTGTAGTTCAAGTCCACACCTTCAAATTGATGCAAACAACAGGATAGGTTATTTAACATTGGGCACAGGTAACAATACAGATTATAGTGACATTATTATGGAATGCTGTATTTCAAATGCGAATGGTAGGAAAACAATATTGTCTGTTCTTGGAATAATTTAAACTGGATTAAGATGTTGATAATGTGAAAACAATAGCATATATTCACATGACTTTCATTATTCACTGACATCTGTGCAGAAGCTGAATGTATTTTCAGGTTTTCTTGCCATTTTCTAAATATTAATTGATGTATAATTACAAACCTGTGAATTTCTTCATCTTGAATCTTCTCACTATCCCACATGAATATACCAGCCAGGGCCGCGAACAGCTTCCCATTGGGTGCATTCTTGCTCTGAAATCTGCGCCATAGGTTACCAACCAGGGTCGACCTGGTCCGCTCGGAGTACAGGTTAGAATAAAGCTCTCCGATCTGGCACGAACGCCGGAGCCTCTGTCCGGTTACAAAGCCGAAGTGATCGGCAAATATGGAGAGCAGGCCCTTCCTCTTCTGTACGGATCCAGCAGCCTCACTGGCACCGACACCTGCCCTCTGCAGCCAGGACAGCAGCAGGCCCATGCTCCTATCCAGCCATGGGAGACTCTCAAGCTTTCCTCTGCCCTCCTCGACTGTTCTCCTGAATGTCCTGCAGCTTTGAAGCTTTAATGTAGTTACACCGATCTCACAGATCGGACGACGGGGCATAGAGTGAAACATACCAGCAGCGTTACCGTGACACACGTTTCCAAAAACAAATTAGTTTCAGCAAAGTGCAGCAGCTAGCTAACAAACTTCTCAGCTAATGATAAAGGGTATGTTGAGATGCACAACGCATAACCTTTATACGGATAAAAACACGGATTTATGTCCAGCTAAAGTCATACTTTGACTCTGGTTTTAACGTTAGTTAAGGAGATGTCCACGAGCACGCGTCATGTGTCTTTAGCATCAAGCTAGCTAACGTTATGAGTCAAATGTCTACAAGTACCACACTCAACACCGCCTTCTTTCTCAATCGATTCTCTAATAACGACAGTGTAGATTATATCTTCAAGTGTAATTCCAACACAATTGTCTACCTGTAAATCTTTCCTGGGCACAGCTTCACGATTGCAAACTCTTGTAGAACATTTGACCTCCTTTTACTACAGTCTCCTACACACCCACACGGAAGTCCCGCCTACCAACTGTACGGCGGCCGGTCATTAGACGTTTGTTTTTCAAGGCCTATTCTGATTGGTCCCAGTGGGAGCCTGTCTTAAATGAATTGTTCGGGCACAAGCAAGTACGCTAGCCCCTTACCTAAGCCCCCCACTTTCCAGTTTCTTCGATTAACTGGGATCAGATTTAGCGTCTTACCGTGTAGGGGGAGGGCTAGTTAAACATTATAACAAAAGCGCATCGAATCACCTTATAAAAGGATAAGGACAAAACACCAATTTCTGTTATGTATTGTATGTTATTATAGTAGTATACGGCAGATGGCGCTGTTTAATCATACATAAAACTAGGTGTCAATATATCAACAAAGAGTCCATAACTCATCAAAGAAATAGTTATTTCATCAAAAGTAAAAATGTTATCAACAAATATTTTTAAAAATTGTACATCTGAGCACTGGCCTCAATGATTTTTATAAAATATTGCATTGCATTGGACACCACTCAGGCTGCCCAGATATCAATGGAAGTGTCTAATGTGTTTCGATTTATCGGACCATGTCTTTCCCATGAAAGGAGTGAGGGATTTCAGTACCATAAGACCATTACTAGATATTTGTTTACCTCGTGCAAACACAGCATGTGCCTTTTTCTTTTTCTGTTTTATCTTAACAATAAAAACAACAGAAGCAACCGACATATCGATTATATTCTGACTGCTATAACAGGCTGCAGTACAACATTTGACTAATGAGCACAACGTAAACACATTTGTTTACCTCACATCGTAAAGTCGAGTAGTCCTACGCTTGAAGGAGGTCGATGATAAAAGCCTGTTATTGACTGTTGGAGTGAAAGCTAGAAACACAAACACAAGTTAACTTGAATGTTGCGGTTTTTCTCTTTATTGACATTGACAATCCTCCTATCTAATCTTTTATTAAGTCGAGGTCACTTTTTTGGCTACTAGCGAGGAACAGGTGTAAATTACGTGTAATATAACTGTCAGTAACTTGTATATTTCTCTAAAGACATAAACAAATGAAAACGTAAAAAATACATATTTTGAAGTTACGAATTCGATTTTTCTTTGTTATTTTTCTTCAGATAGCGTAGTTTAAAAGTCACCGATCGACGAGTTATAAAAACCGATGTGAGCGCCACTCCTTCCTTTGTGAAATGCTGCCTTCAGGCTCCAGCATAAGAATCGTATGAGAAAGTACCAGTGATCACTGCCGACCCAGCCCTAACCATTGCCCAATGGATTTAGAATTTTGTTCCATGATCCTCAAATTAGTGACGTCAAGTTGGGATAGATAATGAGGGAGTAAGGACGAAATCAAAATAACAATTATATGTGCTTTTATTGCAGCATTATCCAATGTAAATACATGTTTCATTGTGTTATGTTTAGTGAGTTCTAACAGTTGAGGTTGTTTTGTCATGCAACAACGATTTTGGCTAAACTATAAGTCATCTAAACATGTTTTGCTGTGCTTATTGAGCAATTCTTCTTCCATTCAATATAGTATGTCTCTCTTGAACACAATAAAAGAACATCACTAAAGAAAACGTCTTTTGTTTGAGGGTGAATGTGTTATGATTTCCAGTCGAATGCACTTGAATGAATGACAAGTCCTCTGTAATGCAGTCAACATCCCCACCACCGGGTGTTTTCCTGCACTGTTTTGACGGGACATTGTTTGCCTCGGATGGAAAAGCAGTGGTTAGGGCTATGTGTTTTTTGTCTGTCATGTGCTACAAGGTTGAGTTTTAAATGCAGGTCGCATGAACATGTAGGTAATGGGTAAGGAGAGACACAGACAGACAGACAGACAGACAGACAGACAGACAGACAGACAGACAGACAGACAAGAGATATGTTATATTATCTAATGATTGTATTTTTTGGGTTGTTATTAGTTATGCATTAATGTGCAGGCAGCATTTAGATTGAAGCAACCAACTTTAAATACTGTTGGGTAGATTAACCTTGTTAATGTAGTGCATTTTATAGGATCAACATATGTTTAGTATAACCTGATATGCAAAGTAGCTATCTTTGAATAGGATATGTGCAGAGCAGTAGCCTACAAACTTTACAAAGTACATGATGTTCCCCTCACAAAAAGTGTAATACAGTTGTATAATAAAGCAAAATGAAAATAAAAGGTACAAGCAACTCAAAATGGTACTTAAGAGTATTATTCACATTAAATGTAAAGTAAAGTACTTGTCAAAAAGTGATATAACAAGACTTTTCTCTGATGTGTGATGCTTTTTTTTCTACTATATTCAAGAAAATATATATGTACATCAAACTTTAAATACACACAAAACATTGACATCGGGGGTACACAGGTACACATACAGAGTAAAAATAATAATAAAAAAAGTAAATAAAAAAATATAAAGAAAGAAATGTAAAGACAATTCTAATAAAACAAAAAAAGGTAACATTCAAGTACAAATGTTTATCAAATACTCATTTACTTTTGATTGCCTGCTTGATTTTAACCTTTTTAATAACAATAGTGCCATATTGTTGTAATAAAAATATGCAAAATGTGGTTTAGAGTCAGTCAATTTATTCTTGTGCATGTGAAAATAAACAAACGAGTTGTATACAATAAACAACATTTGATCAAATCCATCACAGTTAAAGCTTATACAAATATCCTCATCTTGAAGTTTTATCTTTCGTCCCATTTTACCTTTAAGAAAATACTCTGATGTGGGATCCTCTGACGAACATGCACTGGACTCGTGATGAGCCTAAAAAAAATAAAAGGTCCGGCTGACAGCTGGGCGCGGGGCGGGGCGTCATGAGGGTGTATCCAATAAAGAAGTCTGTTCCGCTCCCCGGCACGAACAAGTTCTACACGCGGCTGTGCGCGCTCATTCAATCATAGACGGTTCTGGATTTTGAGTTATCTCACATCGTATCGTAATTAGCTTTTTGACGTTGACTCTTTATTACCTTTTTCTTTTTTTAGAGAAAGTCGTCTTTTTGAAGGGGGTCGTCTTCAAATCCGTTTATTTATCCTATCCCGCGCGCGCTACCTTAACGACTATCTGTGCGGGCGCGCTAATTAGCTTACTGGCTAACGAGCACTGCTCTCCGCAAGTCTGACAACTGCTACGTTTGGTAAGTTTTAGTAACTCAGACCTTCTATCAGAAGATATCATGTACAGTGTTGCGTCTGTTTTTTCACTGAACTCCGGAAATAAGGCTATCACCGTTAAATGTAAGCTCAAAGCTAATGCTAACACCAGCTGGTCAGATACACCATTGTGTACTCGCAGCTAACCAAGGAGTTTTTACTATAAGCGAAGGGGAAGACACGGCTACCGGTATTGTAGGTTTAACAGCTTGTTTTAGGATAGATGATAGTGTTTGCTTCCGTGTCAACATTGATTGCTCGAACCTAGGTTAACGGGATGAAGGAAATACAAACTATTTTATGTTAAGCTTTAAAAAAGGTTATCAGCGAATGTCGTTGGGTTGAGTCACATCCGGTTGCATCCCCTTTTTACAAAAAAAAATACGTCAAACATTATTGAAACTGTGATACCTTATCCATTATAGTTGACATAGCTGCCTTTTACATTCATGTAAGATATCGTATATTCGAGCTGTTTGTTTTATCACGTGAAGCGGTATGAACAGATGCTCGTGTTCAGGGTTGTGTTATATGAATGAATGACGGCACGTGCACACGTAAACACTATTATGTCTCCTATTAAATAAGGCGCTCATTACTTCGTAATGTCATCCACAGTCAGCAGTGCTAGAAATGAAACTTAATAGATCGTTATACAGGTGGTAAATCGGTAAAAATTGAGGACGTTGGGGTAATCTAAGCTCCGGTTTCTTCCTGCGACATTTACAAAAAATGGCTTCCCATTAGGTTTCCAGGAAAGGCATCTAGTAGAAACCATCCTTCAGATTTCAGCGTCTACTACTGTTGTTTCCACGTTTCTGACATGTTTTATCTTATCAAGAGGATGTTTAACCCGTTTGAAACCACCCCTGATCCCCACTCTGTCCTCCGTTGTGAAGGTCGAATGAGAAATAACAGATTTTAAAGCAGCCGTTTTTTTTGTCTTTTGTCTTTTCAGGATGTACCCAAGCTCATCTGCACTTAAAGTTGCACAATGGCAGTTTTAATCGGTGTGACATCTCAGCACAAAAGGAACAAGAACAGATCTAGTTTAATTACAGGATAGCAATACGCCCACACTACACCTCTGTTTACCTTAATCGTTTTCTGGTCAGTACCAGTTAAACACATTACAAGTTTGCACTGCTAAATCTCAGTAACCCTGTTTTAAAACGGGCAAGCCTAAATAAGATATTTATTAACCATTTACCTCTCTGTTTTTATTTAAAACTAGCTGCTGTTTTTAAGTAGCAATATAAATAGCTTCGACAGGCATTATTTCCCATTAAAGATTGTGAAGCAATTTCTCTATAGTCGAAAATCATGGTTTCGACAACTGCCACTGCAATAATACTGGCCAGCACAGTGGGGCTAGCGACCCAGTCCACTTATCTGACAGAATACACATGGCTGCTGGTTGTGGGCTTCATCATCGCCTTCGTCTTAGCCTTTTCTGTGGGTGCCAATGACGTTGCCAACTCATTTGGCACAGCCGTTGGCTCTGGAGTGGTCACCTTGCGACAGGCATGCATTCTGGCCACTGTGTTTGAGACTGTGGGGTCTGTGCTCCTTGGGGCCAAAGTGAGTGAAACCATCCGCAAGGGTATCATCGATGTGGGCATGTACAACGGCACTGAGCAGGAGTTGATGGCTGGATCCATCAGCGCCATGTTTGGTGAGTACCTGCAGCATATCTTATGTGTAGTTAAACCTAGGGTCATTGATCCCTGTGAATAGATCTGTGTGGAATATAAGGCCTTGCGCCATTTGGTTATCACAACTAGAGTGTGTCAAACCCACATCTGGAAATGTGGATCAAACTAATTGCTCTTTGTTTGCAAAATGTCTGAATAAAGTTGTCGACAAATTATTTATATGAATCTGCTTACTGCAAATATTTTTGAATGTTTTACCAAAACACATTTATATTGTGTTTTGCCATATCCACCTATTGCATTTATGTTTATCTTTTTAACTGATTTCTAAAGTTGACTAAAAGCTGATTATGTGTTAGTTTGTCAGCCTAATATGATCAATGATTGTTTTCTCTTTTAGGTTCTGCTGTGTGGCAGCTGGCTGCATCCTTCCTTAAACTCCCCATCTCTGGAACACACTGCATTGTTGGTGCTACTATCGGCTTCTCACTTGTTGCCAGAGGCTCGCAGGGAGTCAGATGGTTTGAACTTCTCCGTATCGGTAAGTCAAACACTCTTATCCGCTCACTTAATTTCCCCCAGTGATTAATTGATATACGTCATAGAATATATTGATGTTATGGCCCGGTGTGACTAGTAATTGCAATTATAACATGTCAACCAATGTTTTATCTGATGGCCTTCAATACTTGGGTAATCAAAGAATTAGACATTTGGGAAGGATTGCACATTTAAAGCTGAAATCACCACTTGTACAATATGTAATGTTGCGATTTTGCTGTCTAGGTTTTAAATGTTTGATGCTCAATGCTTGTTAAAGAATGAGCCAATTGAGAATATGAGTCAACAAGCTTTACAGGAATATACAGTAGCAGCTCTAATTTCACAAGTTGTTTCTCACATTTGTTGCATTAGATGATAGATTGCATCGCCATGTTCCTCCTATTGAAAGCCCAAACCTGATGAAAAACAGTCTGCCCAACAAAACTGAATCCATTTCCCGACAAGAATTGCATTCCCCTAAAGAAAAATATTTTCTTTCTTTTTTTAAGTATATACATGTTTTTATTTATTTGACAGAATTGTCAAACTTGCATTTCCCCTAATTGCAATTGTTGTCATTCTTGCATTGCAGTTGTTTCCTGGTTCCTGAGTCCTCTCTTGTCCGGAATAATGTCAGCCGTTCTTTTCTACTTTGTGCGAATGTTCATCTTACACAAGGTAAGCTGGGTTTTTTTCAAGTTGTAGATAGTATTTGTTTCTGTGAGTTAGAGGATATTCTTCCTGAGAGATGCTTTTGGGTCAGTTTCAACTCCCCCCTGCCAAAAAGAAAAAGAGGAAATG